ATAGATCACTCAGCCACAAGCCCCATATGTCAATTCACCAACAGTTCTGGGACAGTTTTCAGAATCTGGTCACCCTCTTACTTCTTTTCCAAAATTAAAGGATTGTTTCATGACATGCTTTCAAGACTAGGGGTGCTCCTGACCTTGGAGGAAGACACTGAGTAGAGGAAAGGAATCCACACCTTCTCACTGATTTTTGAGTAGTCATTCTACCCATCTAGTTTTAAAAATATTTTTAAAAAAATTTCTTTGTGGGCCTTCGTGGTGTCCTGGGGGTAAAGGTCAGTGCTACCACCATCACAGCCTGAATCTGATTCCTAGCCAGAGAGCTAACTCACATGGTACAGCAGACTCTCCTTCTCACCTGCTGCTCCCCTCAATGTTCCCCGCTGTCTCTGGTGAATCCTCTTAGCTCCTGTACCCTGGTCTTCTCCGCAAAAATTAATAAAGTCTTTAAAAGAAAAAAAGGGGGTTCTCCCTGTTGGCACAACGGGTTAAAGCACAGCACTGAGACACTAAAACCACTTCAGCATGAGTTTGATCCCCGCCCGCTCTACCCAAGAGGTGACCTACATAGCCCCGCAGACCTCTCCTAACCCCACCCCTGCTGACCCCTCAGCAGTGTACTTCATTGAACTGCCTGATCTGCTCCCCGCTGTGTCTCTGATGAATCCTCTCACCAAACTTGCACCTCTGGCCTGTACCCCAATTCTGTATGAATATTTTTTAAAAATAAGAAAAAAAGAATTTCTTTCTGTTGTTAATTTTTAATGTTAAATAGCATGACTGTATACTCCAGAATCTTTCAAATAAACACTTCAATAGAGTAGATATTCAAAGGAAGGAAAGACAAATGGAAAATCTGCTTACTTATGGTGAATATCACCAAAATGCAAAGCCTTAAAACTACATAAGTTTTTTTTTTTTAAAGACTTCTTTCTGCATACAGAACTGGGGTACAGGCCAGAGGTGCAGGGATGCTGAGAGGATTCAACAGAGACAGAGTGGGGAGCAGAACAGGCCAACTGATGAAGTACACTACTGAGCAGAGCAGCGGGCGGGTCAGGAGAGGTCTGCTGCGCCATGTGGGTCACCTCTGGGGCGGGTTGGGATCGAACTCATGCTGAAGAGGCTTTAGCTTCTTAGGGCTGTGCTTTAACCTGTTGCGCCACCATGGAGGGCCCAAAACTACGTAAGTTTGTGGTAGTTCCTAGCACAGACTCTGTCAAATTAAAGATACTATATTCAATTTTTCATTTTATTTCCTTTGTAGCTTGGAAAGATTCAAACTTTCCACATCTTAATTTCTTTTAAATTACCCTAACCACTTAAAAAAAAAAAAGCCTAATAAAGGATTTATTTTATGCCTACAGAAGCTTGTTTTAGTGTACTTGTATTAACACACCCACCATGCAAATGCAGACACAAAATAGCTGCTTTCAAATCATCTACAAAAACCCCTTAACTATCCAATTTAGACTTGGATGTATTCTCATGGTTTTCACAACAACCAGAACATATAAGCATACAATAGTTTCTTTATGCCCAAAAAACAACAATGAGATCCTTTTCCTCTTTGGGAGCTGTAAAAGTACATCTGTGAAAAGTGAATAACACAGATTGTTTTTTCTTCCCCAGAATTTTTTTTCATACAATATCTCCATTTAGTATTATGTTTTTCTGGGGTAAGAAACAGACAAGAGAAGAAAAAGAATACTGAAGTATTCTTTTTAATTGGCATTAGAAAGCACAATTTTAAGTCTCAGGTCGCTCAATTTTTGTTTTTTAAAGATTTATTTATGCATACAAGAGCTGGGGTGTAGGCCAGAGGTGTGGGGAATGAGAGGATTTGCCAGAGATGGTGGGTGGGATAGGTGGACTATCTGAAATACACTGCTCAGGGAGTAGCAAGTGATACAGGAGAGGTCTGCTGCATCATGTGGGTCACCTCCCTGGTTGAAGATAGAATTCACATTGCAGTGGCTGCCAATAGCTTAACAGCACTGTCATTAACACCTGTGCCACAAGGGAGGCTCCTTCACTTAATTTTTCATGCAGTTTTGGACATACATTTACTTTGTACAGGGGAAGAGTACCTACTCTACCGTGCTGGGAGAGTATTAGTGTCTGCAGAAGATCTTTGTGAGTTGCGGGAGACATTTTCAAGAAGTTAAACAAAAAATAAGTTTATTAGACATTACAGTGCCAATAGTAGAGTCAACATTAAGCAAATTAAACCTAATTTTGTAGATAGTTTCCAAATAGAACTGGAAGGTGCAAGAACATTAGCACTCATACTTGCTAAAACTAAGCCATCAACACATGTAATTATCAACAAAAACCCTCTATAGCAACTGTATCCTCTCTATAGCACTCCTACATTGATATCAACTCTCATTAAGGTGTAAAATAAGGCAGAAAAGCCTCATAAAACCTGAGAGTGATGACATGAAACTACTTTAACACTGGTCCACTCACTATATGCCAAGCACTATTGCTGGAGCTGGGGGCAGAGGTTATGTATGTGGCCTCAAGCAGTTTACACACAGTGTGGAAGGCACCTGCAGGACACAAGTCAACTGTACACAAAATACTGGTTAAGGGCTATGCATGTGTAAAGCAGAATAGGGGGTGGCAGTGAGCGAGAAGGACCCAGGAAGATCCCATTGACAAGGTGACTAATTAGGTCAGACCTAGAAGTGAAGAAGTCTTCTGAGAAGGTGAGAGAATAACCCAGTGACCAGAGTGAGAGCTGAGGAAGCAGAGGGAGGAAAGAGGTAACACGGCAATTGGGGAGGGGATTAAGGTCTTATAGTCCAGGGCCTCCTGGTGGCCTATTGGAGCCCAGCACTGCAGAAGCTGGCTGCAGCTACTTCAGTGTGGGTTAGTTCCTGGTCCAGAAGTGACCCACATGGCATGGAGGCCTTCTATCTCACCTGCTGCTCCTCTCAGCAGTGTACTTTTTGTCAATCTGCCTGTTCTGTTCCCCACTGTCTATGGTGAATCCTCTCACCGCCCTTGTACCTCTGGTTTGTACCCCAGTTCTGGATGCATAAATAAATACAATCTTTAAAAAAAAAAAAAAGGGGGAGGGGGCATTCCCTGATGGCGCAACAGGTTAAAGCACAACACTGAGACTGTTCACAGTGAGCTCGATTCCCAGCCAGTGGGGAGGTGACCCACATGACTTGGCAGACCTCTCCTGACCCGCCTTCTGCTCCCCTTAGCAATGTATTTCAGTCAACCTGCCTGTTCTGCTCCCCACTCTGTCTATAGTAAATCCTCCCACCCCCCCACACCTCTGGTCTATACCCCAGTTCTTATTTAAAATAAAATCATATAGGCCCTCCCTGGTGGCGCAGCGGGTTAAAGCACAGCACTGAGAATCTAAAATAAAATCATATAGCCCAGATTTTATTCTGAGATGCCTCTGGAGGGTCTGGTAAAGATGAATGACATAAACTGTTCTCCCTCCAATCCCAAAACAAGGTGGTTGTGAACTCTTTTGCTCAATATGTAAAAGAGCTGTTTGTTATGATTAAGAAAGGGGTAGCCAAGAGACTTAAGTAGGTCACTTCAACTTTCCCTCTCCCTTCTCTGAAGTAACAGTTTTAAAATGAGTCATATATAGCATCCAAACTTCCATATCCTCTATTTAAAAGTTTATAATCTGCCCACATTCTAACTTCTCAGAAAGCTATTCTCAGGGAACAGCACAAAGTAAATCAAGATGCCTACAGAGGAGCAAATATGTGCCACAAAATCCAGTCTTTAACACCCGTTATCAAGCAAGTACCAAGGCATGAGGTGGAGCAGCCCTTTCTCCCCAGCTTGTGTTTCCTTTCAGGAGTTCTCTCAATGTTCATTTTAACTTGATGTCACTTGATTAACTTGATTGCAAATGTTCTAGCAATACAGTGTGATGGTCTTGTGACCTATCTCTAGAGTGCCCTATTTTAAGAAATTCTCCTCCCACAAGTGTTATTTCTTCTATAAGAAATGACCTCCTCGTTTGAGCTATTCTAATACTACCGACCCATCAAAGTCTACTCTGCGAAGCTTTCCCCTTTCAATATTTACTGGGCACTTCTTTTTTTTTTTGACCCTTAATTGGAATTCTAAATATTTGGAATGTATAGAGAAATTCCAGAACATCTAGTGCTCTAGTCCTCTGTTCATTCCACAGTCACCCTGTACAGATGTAGCTGGTCTTCCAATCTCCTGAGCAAGCTTATGCTACCCACAAGACAGTCCACATTCTTTCCGGTGTGCAGTAATTGTGAGAAAAAAACAATTCACTCATCAAGGACTGGTTTCCTTGTACCTTCTACTACTGGTTCTGTCCTCCTGTTTCCCCACCACCACCTCCTGTTTTAACAGAGAGTCTGATTCACTTCTCTTATTCCCCCATCTCGCCCCCACCCCGACCCCAAAACCTGTGTAGTTAATAGATGGCCTTGCGGTGCACCTTTGAAAATCCTACTAACTCCCCAGTCACCTCTTAGGACATCTATGAAACTGCATTCATCTGTCCTGATTAACTACAGGGCTTTAGGCAGACTGGACATCTGTGTGTACAGCTGGTAAGGAGTCTATGTCCACGCTGCAGATTACACTCCTTTTCCAATTCTCTCTTCTGACTTCCATTCCCAGCCTTTCACTTACCACTAAGCCTTCTGTCAGTGGACATTTACTGAACACTGGCAGGAACGAAGCTAAAACCTTCTGCTAAAAATGTAAATCAAATTTACTCAGTCCATTGAAGGGTAAGAGCAAGACAGGTAAAACAGTAAGGAGCTAGGGAGGTTAAAGAAGCCTCCAGGAGATGTCATCTGAGCCAAGGAGGAATTGTTTCCAGCACCAAAAAGTATGTTTTTGTAATCAGTTGTATGCAGCAAATTTGTAAATTTGATACAATAGAGAAACCCTCTCTTGAAAGTGAGGGGGGATAATAACTAAATCAGGTCTAGCAAGGACAGCTGCAAAGGCTGACACTGTACCTGGCTACGTACAGTATTGCTCAGGTGGTTGTCTTCAGACATCTGTGCATTCTGGAAGTAGGACAGGGGTGCAGGTAACTCTGTCATTGAAGCAACTGTACAGAAATACCTTTTCACAGAAAACAAAGCCACTTGGGGTTCTGAAAAGGGAAAAAGAAAACAATGCTTTGTGCATTACAATGATAATTTTTTTTTAAATGCTTTCATAAACTGCATTCAGCAATAACAAACCTTTCTTTCATGTGTTTTCCCAGCCAAGCTTTCTAAGGAACTTGCAGGCTGCTGTCACTTGTAGGTTCCCGGAGTAGGTCTGAAACAGGATTTTAGCAGATCACTCAGAGTCGGTTATATTCTAGTCAATCATTCATACAAGATACTTTTAAGACCAATTTATAAACCATATATTAATTTGTCATGATCTGTAACTGAAAAATCTTTGTCAGTGCAAGAAACCTCTTTGCTAATGGATAGATCCACTTGATAAACCAACTATTTTCAATCACAAAGATATCTAATGATTTCAGATTTAGACCTGAAAGAGTTCACATCAACATTCCTTTTTTTAAAAAATAACAGTTGATTTTTACATCATTTCCTGCCTTTTTCCATTTCAGTTGTAATCCCAGTGGGCTTCCCATCATCAAATCAGCCATGTGCCATCACCACAGTCCAGTGCACTTCCCTCCTCACACCGTTGTTTATCTCATTCTCCATTACACCCCCGTAAACTATCTCTGGTATATAATTGTTCATTATTACTATTTTCTTGCCTGGTTCTTTATACTCCTGCTATGAGTGAAACCATCCAGCATTTGTCCTTTTTTTTCAGGCTTATTTCACTAAGAATGATCTTTTCCAGCTCCATCCATGTTTCTGCAAAAGGCATGTGTTTATTTTTTTTTTTGGTTGCAGAGTAATATTCCATTGTGTATATGTACCACACCTTTTTAATCCAGTCACCCACTTTTGGGCATCTGGGCTATTTCCATGTCTTTCCAATTGTAAATAAAACAGCAAAAAACATGGGGGTGCAGGTATCTTTTTGAGTCAGTGTTTTTGTCTTTTGGGTGGATACCTAGGAGTGGGATTGCTGGGTCATATGGAAGCTCCATGTTTAGATGTTTTGCATTCCCACCAGCAGTGCAGGAGAGTTTCTTTTTCTCCACATCCTTGCCAACATTTGTTGTTTCTAGTTGTTTGAAGATGTGCCATTCTCACTGGGGTGAGGTGGTGTCTCATTGTGGCTTTAATTTGCATTTCCCTTATTACATACAAGTGATGTTGAACATTTTTTTCATGTTTGCTGGCCATCTGCATTTCCTCTTTGGAGAAGAGTCTTTTTAGCTCTTCTGCCCATTTTTGATGGAGTTGTTTATTTTTGTTGAGTTTCATCAGTTCTTTCTATATCTTTGTGGTCAATCCTTTATTGCTAGTTTTGTGTGAGAAAATTTTTCCGCAATCAGTGGGATGTCTGTTTTTTGTAATATCTCTCTTGCTGTACAGAAGCTCTTTAACTTGATGTAGTCCCATCTATTTATCCTTTTCTTCACTATCACTGCATTGGGTGCTGTATCTTCAAAGATGTTACTAAAGTGTATGTTGTGCAGTGTTTCGCCTATCTTTGCTTCCAACATTCCTTTTTTAAATACTAACCCAATCCAACCTAGTTTTCATATCTCATTAAAATTATTTTCTACTGCTTTTACAGTACTGTTTTACAGAACTCTTTTAACATCTCATTTTACCCTTACATAATAATGCACCACTGCAAGGTAAACAGGTAACCTATGTATTTTACAAAAGAAGAAAGGAACCCAAGCTCAGTGACTTGCTTAAAAAATTCACACCAGGACAAAAATCCAGATTCCTAACTCCCAGCCTCAGGTCTCTCCTTTGCATCCTGACAAAAGCTTACATACATCATTGTCTCCCAGAGTTCCTTCCTGAGGGCTGGGGGGAGAAGGGAGGAACAAGCCCATATGCTCCCCTCAGCAGTGTAATTCAGCCAGCCTGTTCTGCTCCCCACTCTGTCTCTGGAGAATCCTCTCACCACCCATGTCCCTCTGGCCTGTACTCCAGCTCTGTATGCAGAAATAAATAAATCTTAAAAAAAAAAAAAGATTTTATTTATGCATACAAGAATTGGGGTACAGGCCACAGATGTGGGTGGGGGGGAGGGTGAGAGAATTCACCAGAGAACGGGGTAGCAGAACAGGCAGAGTGACCAAGTACACTACTGACAGGAGCCACACTTCAGGAGAAGTCTGCCACATGATGCAGGTCACCTCCCTGGCTGGGAATCTAACTCCTGCTGCAATGGTTGCAGACTGCTTCATAGTGCTACACTTTAACCAGTTGCACCACCAGGGAGAGCCCCCCCCCCATGCTTTATTAATTTTTCTTCACAGAAGGCCTTCAGAAAAAAATGTTTGCATACCCAAGCAACATTCTGATATATAATATCGAAAACATTACAATTTACATATTTACACTGAAAGCATTCTGTCAAAGTACTGTTTCATTTTCACTTTTAAGTTCATGTTCCTCTACTCTGTAACTACTTTTTTTATTCTAATGATTTTTCATCAAAAACACATAAAGCAACTATTTCCAGGACTCTTTGGTGGCACAGAGGTTAAAGTCACAGTGCTATCAAGCTATCACCAACTACTATAGCATGAGTTTAATCCTCTCACTCCCCCCCCATACCAGTTCTTGTACCCATAAATAAATATTAAAACCTTATTTACTTATTCACACAAGAACTGGAGTACGGCCAGAGGCACTGGGGGTGACAGGAATTCCCCAGAGACAGTGGGGAGCAGAACAGGCAGATCGACGAAGTACACCACTGAGGGGAGCAGGTGGCAGGTCAGGAGAGGTCTGCTGCCCCATGTGGGTCAGCTCCAGGGCTCAGGGAACTGAACTCTGGCTGGCGCTGAAGTGGCAGTGGCTAGCTGTGCAGTGCTATGCTTTAACCCTTTGTGCCACCAGGGAGGGTCCAAGAAATAACTCTCTAGAGGAAAGAACTATTCTCTCTAGTAAAGTTATCAAGTTCAAATTAACCCCTAATTACCTTCATTTAGATCATTCAAATCAAGACAAATATTTAACCAATGTACATTTTCCCTTCTATCCTTTGTGATGTTACATACTGTAGCTACCTTTTGCCTGCAACTCCTGCAAATTCAGTCTTCTGGCATGAGATCAGGGAACTGCAAGTTAGTAGTAACTAAACATGACATAAATAATGTAAATTTGTTTTAAAAAATAAGCAAATAGTTAACTTTTAGAGGGGTTATTTACTGGAAGGTGATACATGGAAACTTCTCAGGGTCTTTGTAAAATGACTTAGTCATGGTCTTTGTTTCTTTACCTGGGTGCTAGTTATACACAGTGGCTTTACTCTGTCAAAAGTCACTGAATTGTACATGTGCTCATTTCTAAGTACTTCAACTAAACAATTCAAGTAAAATTTTGTGGGAATAAACCTGCACTTTAGGTTATTCTTATTACAGTTGTTAATATTTTGAAAAAAGAATTGACACTATGTATGTTATCTCATCAGCAAGATAGCTGGTTTCCAACAGAACAGGTATATTTTCTAAGCACAGTAAGTGTTCAAAGTAAACTGGCCTGTGTTCTTGATTTCTACCATGTGACTAACTATAATTTTAATATGAAAATAGTATTAAAGACCTGCAAACAGCATATATTATTCTTTACTTTCAACTTCGTATAACCCAGAAATGCCTCAGGGTAGCAGACAGAAAAGCTGCAGTTGGTTACCTTCACCAGCTGCTCTGAAGACTACACCGCATCATTTAAATACAGCTCCCTTACAGAAAAGCCCTTGGAAATCTGTCATTAGTATTCTCACCCAGAAATAAGAAAATAAGATGTCAGCCAAATAAAACAAAGGGAAAGAAAGGGCAATGCAGGCAAAAATAAAGTAAACAAAAGTGTATTACACTTACAGGCAAATGGAGCGTAAATGACCCATTTACTACACAGGTGTTTATTGTCTAGTGTCCGTCAGACACAAATACTGAAATTTAACTACTGATGTTCACTTTGTCATTTCACAAGTGAAAACAATGTAGCACACAGAAGTTCACTAACTAGTCCAAGGTGTTCACTAACTAGTCCAAGCTGACATCTAGTAAGCAAAGGAGCAAAGCAAAGGCTCACAAGTGGCACTCTGTTGCCTCTGTATATAACTACATCCCTGCCCTTCAGGAATGTAAGACAAAGAACATTAAAGTATGCTGAGCTGATTTTTTATTACTATTAAAATTACTGCTTAGAAATGAGGATTTTTAAAAATTTGTTTATTTATGCATACAGAACTGGGGTACAGGCCAGAGGTGCAGGGGCAGTGAAAGGATTCATCAGAGACAGAGTGGGGAGCAGAACAGGCAGATCAACAAGGTACACTGCTGAGGGGAGCAGCGGGTGAGATAGAAGAGGTCTGCTGAGCCATGTGGGCAAGCTCCTGGCCAGGAATAGAACTCACACTGAAGTAGCTGTTGCCAGCTTCACAGTGCTGCACTTTAACCTGTTGCACCACCAGGGAGGGCCCAATGAGTTTTTTTAAGTGAGATCATAAACATCAGTAACTGATCTAACAACTTAAAACTGAAGTCCCAAAAGTATTGTGAATATAAGACTATTCCTCAAGACCTAGTATTAATTTAAAATAACCGGTGATGGGAATCTGGTCATTTTGTTTTTTAAAGATTTATTTATTTATGCACACAGAACTGGGGTACAGGCCGGAGGTGAAAGGGTTCACCAGAGACAGAGTGGGGAACAGAACAGGCAGATGTACTGAAATACACTGCTGAGAGGAGCAGCGGGTGGGTCAGGAGAGGTCTGCGGCGCCATGTGGGTCAGCTCCCTGGCTGGGGATGGCAATGGCTGGGATAGCTCCACAGTGCTGTGCTTTGAACTGCTGCACCACCAGAGAGGGCCAAGAATCTGGTCGTTTCAATTTAAGCAGTTTCTGTTATTAGGCTTATAAGATCTAGTAGGCTATTACAAAAATCATACAAACTTATCTTACTAGAGGTAAATTTAAGACTCACCAGTGATAGTCACTTAAGCACATATTCCTAGTATTTTCAAAGGCACACCATTTACACAAGAAAAACTAAGGCTCAGGAAAGGTGAAAGAATATGCCAGCCCACCATTACGAGAGAAGTTCAAATCATTTCCAAAACCCAGGTCTTCTGACCATCAACCCTGGTCTTTCCAGTCATCCAGAGAAAGTTCATCCCTCCTTTGAGGCTTTGAAGATCACAAAGTTACTGGGCAACCTCCCTGGAAGAGCTGCTTTTTACATGGAGCCCAGGAGGAAGTTGAGGCAGAGAGCAATAGGGCTGCCAAGATTTTTGGTCAAGCCTGGTAAACACTGTTGGAAGAAAGGAGCAGGCAAAGTCAGATTTCATTTTGGCCTAGTAACAGCTCCAAACAAACACTGAAGGCTCATGACTCCACTGGACAGGCCAAAGACACTAGTGGGCTTTCTAAGATTCTTAGCAGTGCCCTAAGAACAAGGAGAGACAGTTGTTGGGCAGTGAGTCTTGTCATGTGACCTGGACGGAGCAGAAGTGGGAGCAGGGATTAAAGCAGTACAACATCTTTTTCTCATGACACTTGCTTAATCAGATAAAAGGAAATCACTCTCTACTGGATAACTACAATTTATTTCTATTATATATACAGTTTTTAAAAATGCCCCAGGTAAACACACTCTAGAAGGTAAGCTGTGCTGACAGAAAAATCTGTCTAACCAGAAAACCATCAGCACTTCACAGAAGCATCTGTGAAGCAATTTTTACCATTTTAATCTAAGTTGATTTAAAAAACCCTATGCAAGGTCACACCAAGAGAAAACTATAGCTGTTTCCCACTACATCTCAAGAAACAGCTAATTCTCAACCTCATTTTCTTTCTTCTTTCTTGGAGACAATGTAAATAAAATTTGTATCCTCAAAAAACATCTGCAAGAGTCACTCTATCATGATCATCTGTAGAAAGTACTAGCAGCTTTTGCTTTAACACTGCAGCTACTTACCCAATTTCTCTTATACTGAGAACAACCAAAAGTATTTTTTGAAGTATCTTTATAAGAGTAGCAAGTGAGTTTATGGTTTATTCTTTTCCCACAAAATTAATCAGTCATTTTACTTTGACTGCTTATCCACAGACAAGCAGACTGAGTTCTAATTAAATGGAATGAATGGGAGAATATCTACTTGAATTTTTAAAAGCTCACACCCAACAGTAAAAGTGCCTATCTCCAAAATGCATTCTTTAAGTAAAATTAATAAAAATAATTTTATATTAATCTAAAACTTTAGGAATAAATGCTGGAAAGATCCCTCTGAATTTTAAGAGGGCAGGAGCAAGTTAAGTTCTCTAGCCCTGCGTAAGATTTTTCTGACAGCTGTAAACCCTAAAAAGAGCAAGGATGTGATACATCCTATTTGGTGATTTTTTTCCTCCTTTCATCCCACTCCATTTCTGTGAACCATCTGTGGTAGATTAGATTATTATTCAGCAAATATTCACTCTCTCTCCCAGAAACTCCAAGGAATACCTTTTCTCCACTGATGTTGGGTGTAGCCCTTTGGTCTCAATGCAGGCAGTCCACTCCCCACCCCACCTTTGGGCACAATCATTAAAACCTGCTTTGTTCAAGGACCTCAGCAGATGTGGTACACCCGAACTGTACTTTCACAGAAGGCCTTGCCTTCTTACATTTCTGCTGTTGCATGGACAAGAGCTTACAGTGGGTAAATGCAAAGCAGAATTGCCTTAGCTGATCCACAAGCCCAAACCTTGAAGCAGAACCTTGTATGAGAACAATGCTCCAAGGCACTGAGTTAACCAGACTGGTTATGTGAATTACAGTTGTTTAAAATGGTTATGTGGGCTCAAGGGATACAATGAAAACAAAAAAATACCTACAAATCCAGAATTCTTTATCTAAAACCTTAGGACTAAATGTGTTTAAAATTCATATATATATTATAAAGATAATATGATGCAGGGCTCTCCCTGGTGGCACAACAGGTTAAAGTACAGCACAATGAATCTATCCACAGACACTGCACCATGACTTCAAACCCCAGCCAGGGAGATGACCCATATGGCACAGTAGACCTCTCCTGTCTCACAAGCGGCTCTCCTCAGCAGTGTATTTCATTCAGTCTATCTGCCTGTTCTGCTCCCCACTCTGGTGAAGCCTCTACTCACCCCCCCAACACACCTCTGGCTGTAGTCCAGTTCTTGTGTGCATAAATAAATCATTTTAAAAAAAGATAATATACAAAAACCATACTTTGTAATGCCCCTCAGGGTCTTAAACAGAACCAGGAAATAAACACACTAGTATATATTCTAACATTAGTATATATATTGTACATATAAAGTCTTAAATTACATAAAATTCATAAAAACAGGTTCAGGTAAGATTTTGGTGTCAAATGGCTTACAGAAAGTCCACTTTTTGGTAGGTTTTTGTATTACAGAATGGTGGTTATAGGACTATGGTCCTATATTATCACACCTATCACATAAAGGAGAAGCAGTATTAGGGATCTTCAAAAAGGTTTTTCCCAGTACATACTGAGAATTCATCTCTCTCTACAATTTGATACAAAAGTAATGGGAAAAGCAGGAAATAAGAGATCCTGAATCTGAGAGGAAAAGAACCAGGAATGTTTTAATAACAGACCTATGTTATCTTTCCAGATGGGATAATTCTCAGAAACCAACTTCAATCTTCCAGTTCTCCTCAAATGGACATTCATGCAGCAGCCCATAGCTATTAGCAGCTCTTAAAATCCAGCAATAGGGCCCTTCCTGGTAGCACAACGGGTTAAAGTTCAGCACTAAGAAATTAACCTCAGCCACTTCAACAAGAGTTCAATCCCCAACCAGGGAGGTGACCCACATGGTATGACACACCTCTTCTTTCTTGACGCTGCTCCACTCAGCAGTGTACTTCATCAATCTGCCTGTTCTGCTCCCCATGCTGTCTCTGGTGAATCCTCTCACCCTGCCCTGCCCTGCACCTCTGGCCTGCACCCCAGTTCTGTATGTATAAATAAATAAATCTTTACCCAAAAAAATCCAGCAGTAAATCACATCCATTTAGAGGATAGCCAAGAACTGTGACCACTGTTTGCCTAGGAGTAGAATGTTCAAAGCTAGAAAGACACCATTCCTATCATCTGTGTGTGTGTGTGTTGAAATCCATACACTCCATAAGTAGGTTTCTCTTTTTTGTTCATTGTTAAGGACTTGTTGAATGGAGGGGGGGAGGGTGTGTGTGTGAGATTTAAGTTGATTACAGTCTGCAGATGAGTTAAGGAGCACTGAAATCAGCTTTTGCAAATGACTGAAATTAGCCAAATGGAACAGGCTCCAATCTAATTTCCTGTTTTACCCTCCTTCATCAGTTTATTTAACTTTCAGACTAGGTAAACATCCTCTAACTATACCATCCCCAATTCAATCCCAAGAGTAGAATACCTTTCCACAACGAATTATACCTGAAATGACAAGATTCCCTTAGCCAGATGTGACTGCTACCTGCAGCAAACGTCACAGAATCTTAGGACCTTTACAATGTGTTCGCCCCGATAGTTCTTATATATGCCAAAGTTGTCTGTATCCTATTCTTATCGCCCATACAAAACCTTAAATACTTTATTCATCCTGTCCAAAGCAGGCAAGGAAAGCTTTAGAATTATCAGTTTCCTGTAAGAGAAGCAGATATTTATTTGAAATGACTCTCTGAGCGAGAAGAACATGCAAATACTGAAGATATTAAGTATATTGTACTTTAACCTGTTGTGCCACCAGGGAGGATCCTGCATCGTATTATCTTTATATGTATTTTAAACACAGCTCAAAGCAGCTGACATACATGTCTCATGACAGTCCCGATCCAGTCAAAAGCATCAGAGCCCGTTTTCCGCCTCGAACATGATACACAAGGAACTAAGCCCGAGTGTGTGCCACTGGCTTCCCTTGCAAAAGGACACTCTCGGGCAGGAGAGCGGAGTTTCACCAGTTGCTCAATCAGACGCGGCGCAGGGCGCTTCCTCTTTCCCCCGCTGCACTCCTCGGAAGACCGTCAACCCAGCCCAGGACACCTGTGCCTAAAATGTCTTCGGCAAAGAGCACTTCCGGACCAAGGTTTGAAGGGGAATCGCTCTTCCACCCGACCGTGCGCCGCGCCTGGAGTCCTAGAAACGGGCCACCTCTCCCGGTTCCCCCCGCGGGGTTCCTCAGTCCCCGCCCGGCCGCACCCCACCCCTCATCCTCGAGGACAGCGGCTACGCGGCCCGGGAGGCAACAAAGGGCAGGGGTCGGCCCGCCGAGTCGACACCAGGTCACGGCACCGCCTTTATAGGGCACACTCCTTCCCCATCACGCACCTACTCTTTTTCCGCCGCCGGCCGCTCGCAACTGAGGTTTCCTGCCCAGCAGCGGCTGTTTTGTTTCCGATGTGAAATCGCGGCCTCCGGAGCTGCCCCGCCAGGCCCCGCCCAAGAGGCTTCGCTGGTGTCGTCATTTCCGGCTTTGATGTCGTTGGCAGCCGACGAGCCAGCGGAGGGGGCAAGGCCCGGGGGGAGGGGTGGGGCTTCCGGCGTCGCGCGCGAATTGCCGCGGACCGGGGCGACACTAGGCTCCGCCTGGCCTCTCGCCTCCGGAGGCACTGAGTTATAGGTTGTCTGGGAGGCGAGACTGCTATTGAGCCGAGAACCAAAGCTTCTACGTAAACCGGGTCCATACTCCCGGCATCTCACAGCTTTCATTTCTCGATAGTACCTGCTTTAGTTTCTCTTTAAGAGCCAGTTGCATCACAATCAAGAGGATGCTAATTATTAAGTAGCATAGATCTGTGTCCCCTACCCAATGAATCAAAACTTACGGTTAAAATCCGAGAAACCGCATTGTAGACGAATATCCCCTGGGATTCTTCGACTCCAAGTTTATTAACCAAACTTCCTAGAGTGTAAGCGTCCAGAGAGCAAAACCTTTTTGTAATCTCAAAATGGGCTCAACAATGGCTAGATTTTTGCATTCGTCGGATTTTCACCAAATTGCGGTAAAAACAGCCCCAAGAACTCCTGCAATGGCATACCGCATTCATATATTCATCTGAAAGCTAATACTAAACAATGACTGTAAAAACACAGCTGTACAAGTGTGGGCAAGTGTGCAAACACAGATAATCAGAACACTGGAAATGAAATCAATGAGATAGCCTCTGGCCAAGTAAGATTTTTCTTTTAACTTTCAAGACAGCCCTTCCTATTTATGGAGCATCGACCGACTGCCTCCCACAGGTTAAATAGGTTTTACTAACAGTCGCTTCATAAGTACGAACAGAACTAATGTAAAACTAATATGGAAAATGGTGAGAATGAAGGTTTGACACTGTCCACCCCACCAAAACTTCCCAACGACAAAAATGTTTGCCCCATTGCTCATTAAGACATCGCACTTACTGATAACACACCTACTACATAAAACTCTCTCAATGCAATCTGATACTGGTTATTGAGTAGAAAATGTTAAAATGATAAACTGTTCTTGGAAATAACCGCAATACAAAAATACCGTGTAGATTTTCATTTTGTATTACACGTAGCAAAAAAAAAAAACACGGAAAGCTGAATGCACAATAAATTGATTCACCCATGGCACAGAAGTTTATGAAACTATGGAAATTTTAAAATACTGTTAAATTTTAAAGATATGGCTTATGTGTAGATATAAACACAACAAAAAATCTTGCAAAAAGTAAACGAGATGATAAAAAAGCAACTATAACTTTGAACAACTGGACTATAAATGACTTTTCTCATTTTCTTGTATTTCATTTTAGGAATATCACCCAGGATGCATTTAGAATTAGCAAAAACACTGGAAACATACTAGAACAAAAACATACTAGAACAAAAGTGATAGTCCAAGGATGAGCCTCTAGTTGTCCATAATTCTAAGAAACATACTACTAGATTTAGATTCTTAAAAGGTCATACCACCAGTCATCAGTACAATGTGAGCTAGAAACGAAAATTGTGGGACTTGAGACATTTGGAGGACACATACACTTAAGTTACTCTGGAATCTTAATAGTGCAGTGGAA